TATATTTTTTCTTTTAGTTTCTTTATATTATGGATTACATTGACAGATTTTTGTATGTTGAATCATCCTTGCATCTCTGAGATGAAGCCTACTTGAATATGGTGGATGATCTTTTTGATGTACTCTTGGATTCAGTTTGCAAGTATTATATCCAAAATTTTGCATAAATGTTCATGAAAAATGATCTGTAATTTTTTCTTTGTTGATTGTTTTTTTTGTAATTTGGACATCAGGGTGACTGTGTGATGGAGGAAGGTCATTGGCTAATAAAGAAACTGGCTTGGCCCATTTTATTGGTTAGAACATAGGTGGGTGGAGTAAATAGAAGAGAATGCTGGGAGGAAGAGGAAGTGAGGTCAGAAGTAATGCAGTTCCTCTCAGAGCCAGATGCCTCAGACAGAGAGGCATGCTCCACTCTCCCGGGCAGATGCACGCAATGAAGCTCCTCCAACCCAGGATGGACGTAGGATAGAATCTTCCCGGTAAGCGCACCTTGGGGTGCTTACACAGATGATTAGAAATGGGCTAAATTAATATGTGAGAATTAGCCTAGAAGAGGCTAGATAGAAATGGGTCAAGCAGTGTTTAAATGAATACAGTTTGTGTGTTGTTATTTTGGGCATGAGCTAGCAGGCAGCCGGGGTGCTGGGGACGCAGCCCCGCTGCTCTTATTTCAACAACTGTGGCCTCCAAAAATTAACCTGGCAATGTTTCTTCTGTTTTGATATTGTTGGATAATTCTAGCAGTATTGATATTAGCTCCTTTTTCAAAGTCTGGTAAAATTCTGCACTAAAACTGTCTGGCTCTATGCTTTTTCTGTTTGGGAGAATTTTAATGACTGCTTCTATTTCCATAGACATTATGACTCCATCCACATTGTTTATCTGGATTTTATTTTAGTAAGTGATATCTATCAAAGAAGTTGTCCATATTTTTTTTTAGACTCTCCAATTTTGTGGAGTATAGGTTTTTGAAGTATGACCTAATGGTTCTTTTAATTCCTTTTGGTGTTTTCTGTCATAATCCCCTTTCTAGCTTCTGATCTGTTTAATTTAGATCTTCTTCATTTGTATTTTGATTAATTTGGATAAGGGTTTGCCTATATTGTTGATTCTTTCTAAAAACCAGCATTTTTGTTTCATTGATTCTTTGTATTGTTCTTGTTTCTATTTGACTGATTTCAGCTTTCTGTTTGATTATTTCATGCCATCTACTCCTCTGGGGTGTGTCTGCTTGTTTTCTTTCTAGAGCTTTCAGGTGTGTTATTAGGTTGCTTCTATGAGATCTCTCTATTTCTTTTTGAAGGGACCTAGGAGTACTTTCCTCTTAGCATTGCTTTCATTGTGCTTCAAATGTTTGGGTAGTGTGCACATTTACTTTCAATGAACTCTACAAGGTATTTCATTTCTTTCTTATTTCTTCCTTGAACAAATAGTTCTTCAATAGAGAAGTTTTTAATTTTCATGAGTCTAGAATTTTCTGTTGTTTCTTTTGTTGAAATCCAGCTTCAATCCATGGTGCCCTTGATAAGCTACCAGGGATTATTTCAAACTTATTGAATCTGTTGAGACTTGCTTTGTGACTGAGTATATGGTCAGTTTTAGAGAAAATTCTGTATGGAGTTGAAAAGTAGGTATATATTTTGGTGGAATGTTCTGGTAGACCCATTAAGATCATAACATCTGTTGGCACCATTAATTTACTGGTTAGTTTTTGTCTGGATAAACTGTAATGACCTTGTGTTTGAGGCACAGGTGTTAAGAATTTCCATGTTCTCTTGGTGAATCTGTCTCTTGATTAGTATGAAATGTCCTTCCCTATCTGTTTTGATTAATGTTGATTTGGCAGTCTATTTTATTAGGGTATTAGAATATCTGCACCTGCTTGCTTCTTAGGTCCATTTGCTTAGAAAATCTTTTTCTAACCCTTTACTCTTAAGTAATGTATATCTTTGATGTTGAGATTTGTTTCTTGTTTGCAGTAGAAGGCTGGATACGTTTTTCTTACCCGTTCTGTTAGTCTGCATCCTTTTACTGGAGAATTTAGTCCATTGATATTAATAAATATTAATGACTAATGTTAATTACTGTTATTCTTGTTATTGATGATGGTGGTGGTTTTAGTATATGTGTGTTTGTGTCTGTTTATGTTTTCCTTCTTTGTTTTTGCTGATGCTTTTTATTGCCTGTGGTTTCTGTTTGCTTACCCAGAGTTTTCATTTCCAGAAATTCCTTGATTTGTGTTTTCTTTATTACTTACATTTCCATGTCCAAGTCTCTGTGTGTGTGTGTGTGTTTGTGTCTGTTTGTCTCTCTGTGTATCTCTCTGTCTCTGTGTATCTCTCTGTCCTCTCTCTCTCTCTCTCTCTCTCTCTCTCTCTCTCTCTCTCTCTCTCTCTCTGCAGGAGGGAGTTGCAGCTTTCATCGGAACCACCAGGTCTTTTCTCCGTTCAAGCACTCTGAGTTCAAGTTGCTTTGTCATGGCTCACTGCAGGAAGAGAACTGGGGAACACTGGATGTAAACCGCCTTGGCGGGTCCATTAGTCTAGGGGTTGTAACCCGCCTGGCTGGTCAGTTATTCCAGGGTCCTGGAGAGGCGCTATCTGAAAGACATGGGCGGGAGAGAGGAAGAAGGCCATGCTAGGTTCTCTTGTCAAAGCCTTCGTCTATTAGTGTCATGGTTACAGCTTATATAGCCCCTGGATGAGGAATTTGGGGGGAGCAGGGGCATGACCAGAGCAGGAAGGGGTCTTGCAGCGTGGTCCCAAGGTCGTTGGCCAGGAGGTTACAATCGGTCAGGTCATGATTCCTCTGTCAAGAAGTCACAAGTTGACACACCTAGTTCTCTAGATAGTTAGAATGTGGGGCGGGTTCCGCTAACAGATAGCTCTCTATTAACAGATAATTGGGTGTGGGATAGGCTCTGCCAATAAAACAATTTTAGATATTGTTAGGGTGTGGAGCTCTCTGCAAACTCCTCAGGGCAATGGTTCCTGCAATAATTTTGGGGGGAAATGGCTCCTGACAACTGGGCATTTAGTGGTTTTGGCAGTGGTAGACAATGCCCACTCTAGTCCCAAAGATGCAAATAAGTAAGTAAACAAAGAAATAGATAGAGAAATAAATATAAATAAATAACAAATAAAGGAAATAAGTAGCACCAACAAAAAGGAAAAAAGGAAGACCTGAGGTTTTTACTAGAACGCAGGCCCCTGGGCTCCATGCCACTGTATTGTCTTGAGGACATCATTTTCAACAAGCCCTTCTAGGGACATTCACAACCAGGGCAGTCTGGGGACTTCTTACTGAGGAGACCACAGCGGCCTTTCCACTGTAACTTCTCATTGTGGCATTCGGGGCCTTCATCCTTGGTCAGGTTCCAACCCCTCAGCTTCCTCCACAGCTTCCTGATGTTTTCATTTGCGTTTTTCCCCCCAAGTATTTAGTGTGTCTGTGCAACACACATGCAGAGTGGCAACCAACTCTCTCCTTCCACTCTGTGGGATCCTGTGATCAAGCTCAGGTTGTCAGGTTTTGTAGAAAGCACCCTTACCTGCTGGCCATCCTGTTAGTACCTGCTTTTTATCTTTTGACAAGGTTTCCCTATGTACCGCAGGCTAGCCTAAAACTCACTGTATAGCCAGGCTGGTCTGCTCCCCACCTCAGGCTGCCACACACTGGGATTCCAGGCTTGTTTCGCCACACCAGCATTTTTGGCATTTAATTTTTAAAAAATTGCATTCAGATGGCAAGAGCTA